AGATAAATATCTAACCTCCGCCGCCCCGCCGCCCCCCCCCCCCCTTCACCTATATACCAACTTTGCTATCTAAAGAAAAGAAAGAAAACAATTTGGGTTTCGACGATTTCAAATTTTCAAATCATTTGTTTGATTCTTTTAGCATCTGATCAGTCTGCTGATGGCCATGACACTGCTAGAAGATGGTGAGTATGATATTCTTTTTTAGAAAAGTGAGACTAAATATTTCCGTTTGTGACCTCGGGCTCTTTTTTGTGTGTTTTGTAACCCCGATACCTCAGTCACACAAACACCAAACCGTACACAACATGTAGGTTACCCCTAATGGCCCATACATACCATTCCAAACATTTAAGTGTTGGAAGATATTTAAAGTCTATTTTAAGCCTTATCTTCATGGAAAAACGGTTGGGATAATTCAAAAATTGGTTGGAAGAAGTTAATGTTAGAGGGGGTTACACATTGATGCCTTCAAAGAAAATCATAAAATATCTTTGTGGTTTGAGAATTTTGTTCAGCATGTTTGAGGGTTAGTACAGTAGAAGGAATATAATAAGTAACATTTCATACACAAATTACGCAGTTTTTTCATCAACCTTCAAAAATGTTACCGGTTCACTTTAACAATGGAAGTTGTAGATGATAAAGCTGATTGATATCGAAGTGCACTTTAATTGTAATCAGTCTTGGCGCTGTTACCATTGCATCATGGCACCTCATAGTATAGAATGGTCAAAATGGCGCACCTCGTAATTTTAATTAAATTTATCATCTAAGGCCTAACTTTCCTTCACGATTTTCCTATATGTTGTATTTTCTTTCCTACTCTCGATATCATTACCAAGATGCAAAGATAAGCATTCGTATCCTGAATTTCTACAAGTATCTTGTTTGTATTTGTTGATGTCATTCCCTATCACAAGCTTCGCTTTCATGCTTTTCACCTCCTTATATTTCTTGAAATATTCACTGTAACTGTATATTGTGAAGATGAGTGTCATTCCGATTCAATTAAATAATTGAGTTGAAACAGATCACAGAACACAATTATAAAGATCCCTCTTTGTTTCTAGGTATAAGTTGTGAAGTATTGAAGTGCCCTGAAGAATTGTGTCCCTCTTCATTGCTACCCGACGGTACGGTCATTAGAGGAACTGTCAAAGGTATGGTCTTCAACCAATCATCATCATCATTATTGACAACACCAGGTCATGAGATAATCATATGCGAGGCACCTGACTACGGTAAATATAATTTGTTAAGAACAATCACAAATGTAATTGTTTTAGCTAATCAATTTGGTTTCCTATTCGTTACTTTCGATTTTGTTATTGTAACAGTCACATTGTCACGTAACTCCCATCCATAAGCGCCACATAAGGCCATCATTTTGATACGGGGAGGGACGTGACTAATCCTTGAAATTTACGGCACGTACGTAGCTGTTACGAGGTGTTCGTGGTCGTAACTTGGCCGTTACGGTACCGTATCACAATGATGGCCTTATGTGGAGCTTATGGATGGGATTTACGTGACAATGTGTCTGGTACAATAACAAAATCGAAAGTAATGAATAGGAGACCAAATTGATTAACTAAAACAATTATATATCGTAAACGCAGTTGCATATACCAAGGTCCATATCTTTTCAACAAACTCCCTTTAAATATTCAATCAAGTAGTTCATTGCCTCTATTCAAAATATGTTACCGATCTTTATCCCACACTCTTTAGAAGTCCAAACATGTAAAATTTGATAAATTTGAGCTGCCTTATTGTTCTTGTTCATTGGGAGGGGGGGGGGGGGCTGGTTTAATCTCTCATAAGTCTTTTTTTCTCTCTCTTTCTTTTTTTTTCCTTAATATTTAGTTGTTGTTGTTTTTTCTTCCCAAATCTAGTATTCATTTGTTTTTGTGCTAGATTTTTTTATTTTAAAAATATTTTAAAAATGAATAAATGGGCTGTAGGCCCTGGTTATTGTTGTTGTTATCTAAAATAATTTTGTAATGTATTCGTTTAGAGTAGGCTATCCATTTTTTTTAATAGTTACACATGTATTATACTATTACGTAGTTCTGTGTTGAATTTGTGTTGTTTTGTATTAAATGTGATGTTATTTTATGTAAAACTTAATAAATAAAAAAAAATACTAGACCGTAGCGAAGTGTACGTGGCTCTTGACGGTCATTGGGTAACGAGCTACAACAGTCGCTGCAGGACGTGGCAAAATCCACATGCTGCTTAACAGGCTTTGGTGTGAGATACTTCGAACGGCACGGAGTTGCTGCACATAGGCTGTGGCATGATGTTTTCACATTGGTTGGCACTTGTGACTCCCTGGTTCAGGCGCGGATCCAGGATTTCTTAGGGGGGGGGGGCCCAAATTTGAAATTATGCGAGCCAAATATTGGTACGTAATAGTGACCAACAGTGACGTAATGCGGGGGGGGGGGTCGGTGCAGGGAGGGGCGATTCCCCCCCCCTCCCTCCTCCGCGAAACGCGGAAGCTTTGACGTTTTATTAAATTATTAGAGAAAGAAGACGATTCGTTGTACCATTCTCGAAAATAATTCTCGTCTGAATTTAATTTTTCCCCTCCCGCGCAGAGCGCGGAAAAAATTTACGATTTATTAAACTATTAGAGAAAGAAGGCGATTCGTTGTCGAGTTCTCGACTCTTAATCCTCGTCTGAATTCAGTTTTCCCCCTTCCTCGTGAAGCGTGGAAGCTTTTACGATTCATTAAATCATTAGAGAAAGAAGACGATTCGTTGTACCGTTCTCGACTCTTAATCCTTGTCTAAATTCATTCTCCCCCCTCCCCCTCTTGCGCGAAGCGTGGAAGCTTTGACGTTTCATTAAGCCATTAAAGATTCGTATTACCGTTCTCGCCTCTTAATCCTCGTCTAAATTTAGGTTCCCCCCCCCCCCTTCCCGCGCGAAGCGCGGAAGCTTTTAAATTTCCTTAAATCATTAGAGAAAGAAGACGATTCGTTGTACCGTTCTCGAAAATAATTCTCATCGGAATTTAGTTCCCCCTCCATCCCGCGCGAAGCGCGGAAGCTTTTACGTTTCATTAAGCCATTAAAGATTCGTATTACCGTTCTCGCCTCTTAATCCTCGTCTGAATTCAGGTTCCCCCCTCCCGCGCGAAGCGCGGAAGCTTTGGCGTTTCATAAGATTATGAGAGAAAGAAGATGATTCGTTGTACCGTTCTCGATTTTTAATCCTTGTCTGAATTCAGTCCCCCCCCCCCCTCCCCTCCTGCGCGACGCTGTGACGTTTCATTAAATTATTAGAGAAAGAAGCCGATGCGTTGTACCGTTCTCTATACTGTTAATCCTTGTCTGAATTTCAAAGATGTTCTTTGTCTGCTCCTTTTTCTTCCTACGTCCTCTTCCGATTTGGGGGGACCGCCCCCCCCTCCCCCCCCCCCCCCTGGCTACGCGTCTGCGGTCAGATAAACACATTTTAATACCTTGTCTAACCCCGCAAGCGGTCAGATAAGCATTCAGGGGCCCGTCTTAGGGCCCCTGGTGGGGTCGAGGCGGCGGAGCCGGCACTGGAAGCTCAGGGGTTTTAGGCGTTTAATTAAGGTCAGATGAGCATTTTTTTTGTATACCTTATTATTTTGTGACACTGGCAGGTCACTATTTGGCGTGGGGTCCAGGGGGCGGAGCCGCCAAAAATCAGGGGTTTGAGGCATTAAATTACCGTCAGATGATCATCTAAGGGCCCGCCGTAGGGCCCTAGGTGGAATCCAGGGGGCAGAGCCCCCGGAGGCTTAGGGGTTTTAGGCATTAATCACGGTCAGATGGGCATATTTTGATGCCTCATTATTTTTTAACACTGGCAGTTAACTATTCTTTCATTCTTGCTCTCATTCTATATTATTTCTCTTTAATATACTTTTTCAAAAAAGTGGGGGTGGGGGGGGGGGGAGCTCGGTGCTCCCGATCCCCGCCGTACCTCGGGCACTGACATGTAGGAATCTCAAGAATCATATTTCTTGCCTGGCTGTAAATTTAGGAATTTGTCATTTTCCAACAAACACATACAAACGTATAATTTACTAAAAAGTGAGGAAAAATATCGGAAATTATGTCATATCAGCATTATTTGTAATCCACCGTTTTGGAATTAGAAATAAACCACGTTTGAATTTGATTTCCCCAACCCCCCCCCCCCCCCCATCGGTACGCCAGTATCTCCTCTTTTCCTTTTTTCTTTCCCTTTCCTTCCTTCTCTCTTATTTTTTTGATTGGGGGGGGGGGGGGGGGGGGTCAACAGCCTGGGAGGCAAGGCCCTTTCGCCCCCCCCCCCGATCTCCTTTTCCCCCCTTTTCTTTTCTTCTTCCTCTTCTTTCTTTCCCTTTCTCTCCTCTTTCCCTTTCCCTTCTTTTCCTTTCTTCTCTCTTTTTTTTTTTTTTTTTTTTTTGCGGGGGGGGGGGGCCAAGGCCCGCTCGGCCCCCCCCCCCTGGATCCGCGCCTGCCCTGGTTATATGTTGGCGTCGAAGATAACTTCAGGATTCCGAACTTTCTTCACTGAAGTGGTCGACGATGTCCTAATATGAACGTGGGAAACTACGAACTTGTAAATGACACAATTTTATCACAACATCACAAACTTGATAATAAACTTGAAACCAAATTTGATCTAGAAAAACAACATATTAGTTTTTCACACTCATCCATATTTGGGAACGATTTTCACAGCCGTGATTGATGAAATGTATGAATGCGTGCGTGTACCTTACTTAGTTTCCAATAAATAATTGGTCTTCCGTTTGCCATATTAGAACAAAGAAAACACATCAAAAACAACAACAACAATAATAATAATAATAATATTAATAATAAACTGTAATTTAGTAGCGCGTATCGTTGATGCAGTCTCCATACGCTTTTACAAATGTATTTGTCACTCTTTCTCTCCCTCCCTTCTCATCTCTCTCTCTCTCTCTCTCTCTCCTTCTATCACTAATGTCTTACTCGTAGGCTACAATCCTTGCTCAGCTAGCCCTTGTCTCAATGGAGGAACCTGCACGCCCTCGCTTGGCCATACTCCAGCGTACAGGTGCCAATGTGATCTTTGGTTCGAAGGCACAGAATGCGGTAGGTATCCTAATGGGGTTGTTGTTATCAATGGTGAACTTATGGCTTTAAGTAGAGCTTGCAGTCATTATTTTAAAAAAATTGATCGCAATAAAATCATGACTTCTATATTGTGCTTATAATAACATAATGATAATGCTGTCCTTCCTGAGTATCCTGCGATTATTATTATCCCAGAAATTGTCGGGTAACCATTTACATTTTGGTGGAGAGAGGATTTATGTCTTGCTAAAGGAGGTTAGTGCCGGGCTGGGATTAGAACCCTTTACCCTTGGATGGAAAGTCAAGTGACTGAAACACTATACCACGACATGTTCGTCTTAAAACTAGTGAGTTTTTATATAGAGTAGCAATATTCATAGAATTTGAATGCTATTCTAGAAGATAATGCCGTTCTTCATTCCATGACATTCTCTCAGATGTTGCTTTGCAACTACTAATCATCAATCCGCAAAGGACTGGGATTTGGGTCGCTAATATGAGCGACTTTCTGTTCTCGAGTTTCGTAGACTTCGGCAACTCCGCCCAGATCGTAACTATGATCTTCGATGACACAACTGATACACTTTACTGGACGGATTTGGTTAAAGGAACCATGTCAAAGGCGTACGAACCTATGGAGTTGGACGTTAGGATGCATAAGATGGGATGGGCGAACTGGACGGTACTATCTGCTGATATTGTAGGTATGATACTCCAAATATGTTGTAATATGTACAAACATAATGACGGTAGGTAAATTAACATCTGTCACCAAATCAATATATTTCCTTCAGTATTGACATCATTTTGATATTATAACTCTTTATTAGGGGAACCAAACTGTAGGTTAGAGGAAAAACACGTCCCCTCTCTGTTAAATGTTGTCTATGACTGTATTTGTCTTTGTAGTGCAATAGGACGTGTGTAATATGCGTGTCGGAGGGGGGGGGGCAGATAGGAAAAGAGTCCCAAGCGGCACATGCAGGGGCACAAAAAAGGAAAACAAAAATGATTATCGTTTCCTGTCTAATAAATTCGGGGCAGATAATCTAAACAAGTCTTTTTTCAAACAAAATAGAATTCGGAATTAGAATTAAAAATCAAATTTTATGGAGAATGGTTGTTCAAAGTTTAAAAAATCCATCTGCTCATCCATGATTATCATGATTATTTGTTGTGATCTTGAGATTTTAATTCGTTATCCTTCGCCTTCTCTGTCTCGTTAATAACAGTGTCAGGACTGTACGAGTGTTTAACTTTGGACATCAAGAAACAGCAACTTCACTGGATGACATACCCAGATGGACATAGCCAACGAGCAGTACGACAAGAAGGAGCCGTTTCCAATCCTGTAGAATTATCGCGAGTCCCGATGAGCGAAAGCTATGTCATTGATCAGCGACGAAGGTGACCGATGAAATCGCCAACAATCTCACTTGCATTATTCTCTTCCCTCTTCTTATTTCTTTTGCGAAAGTTAATGTGGTTGGTTTAGCAAGTGGCGCTTGTAAAATGGCGACTGGCTGGAATGCTCCCCAGGGAGTCGAAAATGTGCAAACATTAAGCCTGAATCCGATGACCGCGGTAATAATCTGTTCCGCGCCTAGAAACAAAGTATTAGGCGCATTATAAAATGTGAGCTATTATTATTATTATTATTATTATTTTGATGTATCGTCTCTCTTCTTTAGTAGTATCTAGTATCGTTTCCAAATTGTTAATAATAACTGTAAGCCATTCTAACCTTTAACGTACAAACTTTAGATACGTAGCCGTTCTATGTCCTGCATGTAGCCCTCTTCATTTACACCCATCAGCCACATTTTAAGTAGTAGCTACACGTAATGATTATAATAACCGTTGCCATACTTTATGGTAACGGTAATATCGTTAAACATTGTTTAATCATGCTAATGGGATATTTGACAGGACCATCTTTCTTCATTTTTATCTTAATTAACATAGATGATTTCATTAATTCGTCGCTGTTTTCACGAAGTGACGGTAGTGAAAAAAAAATTGCATTCACTTTACGTTACGATTTTCCTCACTACCGTCACTTCGTGAAAACAAGGACGAATTGTCAGTGTTTGCACATTTTCAAGATCTATACCACCCTTCTTGGTGAATAGACACCCTGCTCTCCTTCTGTCAAATGCAGATGTAGAAGCCTTAAATTGCTTGTAGTACACAGACATCGCAAACACTTCATTATTGCAGGAGAAGATAGATTATCATAAAGAGAATAATTGCGACGCTGTTCACATCTCCCCCAAAGTGCTCTACATAATAGTTTTGAATGATTGACCCTCTGCAGATATCTCTACACTCTTCATCGAGCCTATGGGATTCATCGAATCAATCTTGATGACGGGCATACAACAAAGCTAACAGGCCCACTAGAAGGAAGACTGTTTAAGGGAATGACCATAGATGAAGAAGGTGGTTAATATTTCCGTTTCGGTTTAATAAAAATTTGGAGTGGACTATTAGGCTATTATTATTATTATTACATTGTTTATTGCGGTGCTTACATTGTGTTCGAGGTGGATAGGTTTGGAAGGGCTCTCTTCCAGAGCTTTTCCAACTCCCATAATTACTATATTAGGGTAATTAGATACTCAAAGTAATATCGTACACATCTTACGTGGAACTACAAAGTCTCCTCGTTTAGTTTAGTACAGCACTCGAAAGTTATCAATGAATCATGTATGCCCATATAAAAACAGGCCAAGACAAGTTGAACTGTAAGAATGATCAAAAATAATATGAGGGGCAGCAGACCCTCACCAAAGCCCAAGGGAAGTTTTAAAAAATCACCATCTGGCCCACCAAAGCCTTATTCTTGGGGATTACGTAAAGACTTTGAGAAAATCAACTCAAATGCAATATAATAATACCCAATTGTGATAACGAAATGCGGCATTGTAAAGGTCACTCAATGCCATGAGGCGCTGAATATGGATATTGAAATTGATTTGGGTGTAATTTTTGAAAATCTTTGCTAACGTGTTTCTAGTATATTTTGATGGGGTAATATCATTTTTACATAATCTCTTTATAGGCACTGGTTGATATTCGGACGGGTCGCATCAGTTTCATTTGCAGATGCCTGCATTATATACATGTCTGGACTTAAAAGTTAAACATGGCCATGGCATCATTAAAACGACCATTTTTTTTTTTAATTCGATGCAGAATCTGTTCCCAATGAAAAGACGTTTCACCCATCGCTTTTTTCACTAATAATATTAAGACAGATTGAAGGAATGTCTTTCCAAGGAAATTCTAGCTAGTAGTCGATCATTCCCCGAATCAGGGGGATTTTCGTTCAGGGCAAATGACATTATATCTTTTAAAGTATACTCATTTACTGTTATTTGGCTTAATTCTGTTTTCTTAAAGGAGAACGATTGTTTTGGACGCAAGCCTTTCTAACCCAAATTGCATGGTTTGATCTGAAGAAAATACAAGGCCCGTTCACGCTCATCAACTTCGAAAGCACGGATATGAGGCTGGGGCTGGGGAGTCTTCTCTTCGTGCCCTCTGGATGGCTAGTATGGCTAAACATGTCGGAAGATCAAGTCTGTATCGCACGGGCTGAAGTTGATTCCGAAACAAGGTTTTGTGTCTCTACCAGTGTCGATGGTTTACCCCGTCGCTTACGGGGGCACCAAAACAAAGCATTAGCTCTGCGACGGATATAAGATGGAGGTTTAGTTATCTCATATTTTAAACATTCGCAACTCCTTTATTATTGGCATGATTTATTTCAAACTTTCGCCATTTTTTTTGGTTATCTTTCTGCTTCTATACTAGTGATGTTATTACAAGGGTTGGATTGCCCTTTAAGAAATGTTTCACCCTATCAAAACTCCCAACTTCTGACTTGATAATATACTGGTCGTAATGTCTCGACTTTATGCACAGGGCCTTGTTTTTAATAAACAAAACAAAAGTGGTTCAAAAAGTTGATAAATTCAAATAACTTTTGAATGTTTTGTTTTTGTACAAACACACACATACCGTCCACGAAAATCGCGACACGACTGTCGATAGCCGACAGTCACTCTTTTCCCGATTGAAAATATTATCAGATTTTTGTAGTTTTTAGGGGGCGTCTGGCAACCCGCCCCGACATAAAGTTTTTATTTTCTTTTTCGGTGAGTGGGGTGAGAGTGTGTGTTCTGTAATATGAAGTCATACATGTTTGGATGGGGTCATTTGTTTTATGTTACAACTGATTTCATTACAATCTATGTAATGAAAATGTTTTGAATTCACATTCTTATAAGTTATGTCCAAATTCATTTGATAGTACATTGCCACTCGACGGTAAAAAATCATTTAGTATCTCCCATGTAAATGTATGTTCGTTCGATGTAATTGCATTTTCAGAAGTATGGAGAGTTTTAGAAAAATCAACCTTGGAAATGGAAGGTTATGTATTGGAGGTAAAGTGCCGGGATGGTAGAGAAAGAGGAGGAGGGTAGGAGCTTATATTCGTTCTAATTTGAAATACGTCGTGAAAGATTATACAGTGAAGCATACAGAATCAATCTGGTTTGAAATAAACAACGGAGAATTTCAGAAGGTGATGGTAGGTGTTTTATATAGGAAACCAAATACAGATGTTAAAGAGTTTCAAGAAAGTCTTCTCACGGTTTTAGAAGACATTAAAGTTGACGGACGCAATAGCATTATAATAGGAGATTTAAATATACATTCATTGAGAAGGGTTTTCAACTGCGATGAAATGCGTAGGAATGGAGCAGAAAATAGAATATCCAATACGAGTAACCAGTGAGTCTGTAACATTATTAGACCATATATACACTAACATGAACTAGTATGATAATCACTCGGGTGTTATAGGATGTGATAATTCTGATCACTACCCTGTGTTCATGATTTTAGCAAATCCTTGTAGTCTGAAGCAGCAGCATTATTCACAGACTGTAACTTACAGATGTTATAAAAACTATGATGTACAAAACTTTAAAGATGATCTTGCTGGGCAACACTGGCAGCACATCAATAACTGTAAAGATGTTAACATGGCATATTCCATTTTTCATAATATGTTTAATAATGTGTGTAATAAACATGCACCGATCAAAGAGAAAAGAAGCTGCAAAGGATGCGCTTAAAAAAAACCTTGGATAACCAAATCAATAATGAAGTCTGTTCGAAAAAAATACAAATTGTTTTTAAAAGTAAGGAAATCTAATTTTGATGTAAGTGATTTACAAAAATTTCGGAACTACAGAAATGTATTAACGACTGTTTTTCGCAATGCCAAGATAAATTATTACAGTGGTTTGCTAGCTGAGAACAGCAATAACACTAGTAAAACGTGGAACATCATAAATGAATTACTATCTGGGAGAAATAAAGGTAACAAAGGTACTAAGGTAGAAAAACTTATAAGGCGTATTAATGGAAATAATTTCTTTGTAAACATTGGTCCAAATCTAGCATCAGCAATACCAAAGGATACCCACATTTTTTGAAGATTATTTGAATAATATTGTAATAGCAATCCATTTTTTGGAAACCGGTCACAATGAAGGAAGTTCATGACCACATGTTGGCTCTAGACGAGAATAAAGCTTGTGGTTACGACAATATTCCAGTACGCCTGATTAAGGATGGTGCATTTTGGCTGAACCATCAACACATATCTTCAATCTTTCATTGGAAACAGAAAATTGCTAAAGTGAGTCCACTGTTTAAGAAAGGTAATAAACATGAAACAGGGAATTATAGACCCATTTCTGTCTTACCAATTTTGGGTAAAGTATTAGAAAAAATAGTTAATGCTCGATTGACCAGTTTTCTAGAAACGCATGACATTTTATATCACCATCAGTACGGATTTAGAAAAAAGTATAGTACTAAATTATCATTAATTAATCTTATGAATACGGTATTGAAAAGTATAGACGAAGGATGTGTTACGCTTGGTGTGTTTCTTGACTTTCAAAAGGCTTTTGACACAATAAACCATAACATATTATTTTAAAAGCTATCGCATTATGGCATCCGAGGACATGCACTGAAATGGCTCGAAAGCTATCTTAGTGACAAAATGCAGTTTGTGAAATACAAAGAGTCATCATCAGAAAGTAGATATATCAAATGCGGTGTACCACAAGGTTCTGTCTTAGGACCAACTCTGTTTTTAATCTATATAAATGACTTGCCAACTGTGACAAATTATTTCAATTTCAGACTATTTGCAGATGATTCTAATATTTTTCATACTTTTCCCAAAGGTGGAGATCAAATAGATGAGTGTGAAGTAAATGAAAATTTAAAATCAAAACAGAATTGGTGCACTGCAAATAAGCTTACTATCAATGCGTCAAAAACCATTTCATGTTCTTCAGTAGTCGGAGAGGCTGTGCTTAAGGGGAGATTAAAAATATCTGGGGCAGAATTAAGAGAAGTGGAGGAAGCGACATTTAGTTGGCATTACCATTGACAGACATTTAACATGAAATTCACATATATAATCTGTTAATGACTGTATACGGAGAAAAGTCGGTATCCTCTTTAAATTACGGCACTTTGTCCCTATTAAACATAATGATATTGATACTGTTGTATAAAGCTCTGATACAGCCACATATTACATATGGCATCGAGGTTTGGGGTAGTACTTATAAATCACACTTGAATTGTATATTTTATACTCAAAAGATGGCTGTACGTGCTATAACTTTCAAGCCATGTCGTTCTCATGCTAATGCACTGTTTCATGACATCAAATTGTTGAATGTTTTTAAATTGCATAAATTATCTATTTGTACTTTTGTGCTTGATTTTATAAATGAACGATTACCTCATTCCTTAAAACATTATTGCAGTATGATACAACATGAATATTCCACAAGACAAAAAACGGCTCGACAATTACGTCTTCCTTTATTCAAAACAGACCAAGGAAAGTTTTCTGTTTCGTTTGTTGGAAGTAATTTTTGGAATATGCTTCCTACTGATCAAAGGATTGAGAGATCAAGAACCTCTTTTCGTAAAAAACTTACAAAATTACTCTTAAGTGAAAACCACGAATCATAACCTCGTAACCACTGGCGTACCTATGGGGGGGGGCAGGGGGGGCAGAGTGCCCCCCCCCCCCTGACGGGCTCCAGGGGAAAAAAAGAAAAAGGGGAAAGAAAAGAAAAGAAAGGAAAGGAAAGAAGAAAAAAAAGGAAAAGGGAAGAAAAAAGGAAAGAAAGAGAAAAAAGGAAAAAAAGGAAAGAAAAAAGGAAGAAGAAGAGAAAAGGAAGAAAAAGGGAAAAGAAAAGGAAAGGAATAAAAATGGGGAAATTTATTTTTTTTTAAAAAGACCATGGCCGTACGCACCAAGGGGGGGGGGGCAGATATTTTGAAAACGTACAGTTTTTTTTCCTGAAAATGTAGTGTACGCCTTTAATTACCAATTCCTTCAATTCTACTTTTGAAAATGCAAAAGTACCCTCATGACCAGTTCGGTCGCTCGAACTCCCTTCACTCCTTTTGCTTTTGAGATTCTTCGAAAACTTTTAACGCATCTTTCCCCCTCCCCCACCAGAAAAATATTCCGCATACGGCCCTGAAAAATTAAAACAAATGAAAATAGGAAAATATAAGTGATATAACAAATTCGAAACTCTTCGCTGGCGCGAACTGCTTGCTAGCCTATTTTGTATTAAATGTTTTCACTTGCTCGTCCCCCTGAAAAAAGAAAAGGATTAGTATTGCCTAGAATAAAATTGTGCCTGCCCCGACGGGCCCCAACCTGCAACCATGGCAACAATAACACACAATATATGTACCAAATGTTACTAAAAGAGACTAATTCATTTTTCTCGCTCGCTACACTCGCTCGCGAATAAAATGAATAGACATTGCTTTGGAAACAATTGTGCCCACCCTTGACCTGCAACAATATCATTAAAAGTGGGAGAGTTTTTTCCCCCTCTCGCCAAAAAGGAATTGAATCGCGTTAAACGCGATTGCGTCCATCCTGACCTGCACCAATAAAAACAAGTTTATTTATTAATTTTTATTAAAAGAGAATTTATTTTTTTTGCTTGCTCGCTATGCTCGCTCGCCAAAATGGAATTGACACCGCTAACGTTCCCGCCCCAACCTGCAACAACCAGTTAATAATTATGTACCAAACGTTATTCAAAGAAGTTTTGGTGTGCTCGTGCTCGCCAAAACGGAATTAACATCACCTTAGACATGATTGTGTAAGCCCTGCCCTGCAACAAACAAATCTGAAATTTATGAACCAATTATCATTACAAAAATTTTGCTCGCTCGCTACGCTCGCTCGCCAAAATAGAAATAACACCGCTTTTAATAATCACGTCCCTGACATGGAACAATGAACCCAAGTTTATATATACCATATTTTCCCTATAAAAGAGAAGTGATTTTTTTTTGCTCGCTCGCTACGCTCGCTCGCCAAAATAGAAATAACACCACTTTTAATAATCACGTCCCTGACATGGAACAATGAACCCAAGTGTATATATACCATATTTTCCCTATAAAAGAGAAGTGATTTTTTTTGCTCGCTCGCTACGCTCGCTCGCCAAAATATAAATAACACCGCTTTTAATAATCACGTCCCTGACATGGAACAATGAACCCAAGTTTTATGTACCATATTTTCCCTATAAAAGAGAAGTGATTTTTTTTTTTCGCTCGCTACGCTCGCTAGCTCGTGGAATTATGTGCCCACCACTATCTGCTACAATATCATTAAAAAGAGAAATGTAGGGGGTTGCCTGCCCGCCAAAATGGGATTGACATTGCCTTAAACACGATTGTGCCCGCCCCCTACCTGCAACAATGAAACAAATTTTATATAGCAATTCATTGAGAGAAAGATGTATTTTCGCTCGCTAGCTAAAATGGGTATAAAATCACCCTAAACACAATATTGTTCCCGCGCCCTGCATGGGACAATTGAACCAAGTTTAAGTGGCAAATCTTAAAAAAGAAGTGATTTTTTTCTTGCTCGCTACACTCGTTTGCAAAAAAATTAAATTAACGTCGCTAACAAGTGAATGTTCCCACCCCAACTTGCAACAATACCAGTTTATATACCAAACGTTACTTAAAGATTTTGTTTTGCTCGCTCGCTCGCCAGAAGTGAAAATTAGCATCGCTTTTTTTGTTTGTTTCGGTCGCTTGCCCCCCCTGACGGAGTATCCCAGGTACGCCACTGCTCGTAACTATATAGTTGTATATAGTAACCAGTCTCATTTTAATATTATACACAAATCTTATTTATAAGTTTTGGAAACCCATCATGTATTTTTCAAATAACTTTATTTTAGGCTTTAGATAACGAGAGTCAGACTCGACTAGCACATGTGCTATTTTTTTACTCTATTTTACCATCGATCACAAACTCATTGTAAATAGTCATTTAATGTTTTACTCTTGAAGCAAAGTTTACTTTATATTTGTCATAATGTACATGTATATCACTGTACAACATGTATTTTTTATAATTCATGTCATGCATTTATGTTATATTGACATTGTCATTGTACATTTATCGTTTGTTTCAATGTTTTCAATGGTGGTGAATAAATAAATTCAATTCAATTCAATTCAATTCAATTCGTTAAATTTGCTCACTGAAGATGAAAGAAATGTTTTCCTTAGTTTTCCTTAATAATTTTAAATTCGCTATTAGTTGCTGAGCTTGTAAATCAAAACGCGGACTAACTGCGTTTAGGAAGAAAACTGCAAAAAAAAATCTACTGCTTTGCTGATTCTGCTTCCATGCTTCACATTGTTTATTCAACTTTGTTTACCAATCTCTGAACAGTATGCTTTGTTTACTACTGTACCAACGGAATATCGTGGAGACCGCTTCTCTACCGGATTCCTCTGACCATGGTTATGTGAATTTTCAGCATTAAAAAAAAAAATCACAACTCCATGCTCTAAATAAGAACAAGGGAAACGCTAGATCGGCGGTCTCGCCTGAATTACGCAATTCTATATAGGGTATGACGAAAAATTGAGGTTGGGACATTATTTATAGGCAGGGTGGCCCATTAGCAGGTCCCCCAAAATGAAATCCTCTGAATACAATCAGCATTTTGAAGTGAATATTGACTGTGAATCATCAGAAGAATTATTTACAATAATTTGTACCAAGATTGATAACTTTAATGGAATATGAATAATATATTTCTTAATTGTTAATTCTCATATTAAGTTGTGAAAACATAATCCCAAGTCAACTGACCTAAAGCGACCTTTGACCTTGACTTTGTAGCCTGGAATTTGTGTCATGTGATTTGTGATACTTGATAACCCTTGTGTGTACAAGTTTCATGAAATTTGAACAAAAACTTTTGAAATTATGCTAAAAATTAAAAATCTTGATGTTGATGCCACAAGAAAGTCTAAGTTTGCAGACCTGAAATTACATTTGACCTTGAATTTGTCACCTAAAAGACTAATCACGTGATTGATGTTACTTGATACCCCCTATGTTCGAGTTTCATGGAATAGGAATGTATACTTTCAAATAATAAAAAATCAAAATCTTAACCTTTGGTTAAGTTTAGATGTTGATCCCACAACATAGTCTAAGTTTGTTGACCTGAAATGACCCTTGAACTTGACTTTGTGACCTGAAATTCTACTTACATGATTGGGGATCCTTGATGACCCTTTAGTCCAAGTTTCATTGAATAAGATCATATACTTTCAAAATTATACTAAAAATTCAAAAACTGAACCTTAGGTTAAGTTTTTGATGTTGACGCCGCCACCGGAAAAGCGGCGCCTATGTCACGCTTATTGCTACGTAGGCGAAACAAAAATCTGAAAAGGAATTAAGAATGATTTTATTCGTTTCTTTTCTTGTTTAGTTTACGACTGAATGTGTTTTCCAAGAACATTTATAATTGCTGGTACTTCGGGGCCGGGGAATCTTGCAAATTAAATTGTCTCTTCAAAGCTACCATATATCATATTTTAAAACACAAGAATGGCTGGTGAAGGAGGCAACTCAATGGGGGACTCCCCCTCTCGTTCGAGCCGATTTCTGGCAGCTGTATTTTATGGAATATGTTCGATTATGATTGTGTTTATCAACAAGTCAGTCCTGACAACTTACAAGTGAGTAATTTACGTGAAATTCAAGTCCTAATGATGATGTTTTTGCGGTGGTGGGCTTGGCCGTGGCCGTGCATGGCTGGAGACCTATCGCCACGTAGCCGGTGGATGCGAGCAGTGCAGTTACGAACGTGCCGCTTCGCTCTGGCCCTGACTCTCGGCGATCCGCATGCCGCGCCTGGCCTGGGAGTCGTTGGGCTGAGAGCTAGGCGAACCCGAAGGTCATGAAGGTTGTATAGTTGTTGTTTGTTATTGTTGTTGGGTTTTAAGGCTTTCCAAACTGAAACCATGATTTCCGCCAGGCTATACTGTTCTTCAAGTTATTCATCAAAATATCTGTCACTTTTCTATTTCAACATTTGAAAACTGACACTCTAGTCTAGACTAGAGTCTAGACCTAGACTAGGTCTAGATGATCATCTAGACTATCTATTTGAAACCAATTCAATTTTTTTTTTTAAAGCATTGCAATCCATCCAAAATCAAGTAGACTAGACCTAATTGAATAAGAATAAATTATTTATTGTTTACGCACAATATGCAATTTATAAGGTGTATATAGACTACTTAATCATCTTAGAAGTAAATTCTTCAGTTATTCATTCAGTTTGGATGACTTTCAAAAGTGATTTTATGTTGTAGTGATTCAGCCTGAGCCATTACGGCTCTGGCGGCATATGCGCGTAAGTCCCGCATTAGGCGACACCCGCGGTAGTTTCCGCGGGCGTGCTTATCACTGGGAACGTTAGATTGAACCTGAGACTGCACGCGACAAACACTGTTGATTGCCCGTCTCTTCTGTCTCTTCGGTCTACTACTACTAGCGACGGTGGAGCTCCACTCAACGAGCAACACTTCAAGCGCTTCTTGAGACAGACTTCAAGCAGTATAGTATACAGCCTATGGTAGGATAAATCCTTATTATAGTCGTTTATGTAGTTATAGTTAAGATTTAGGCCCAGTAAGTTATATTCCGCTCCGTCACTACAATGGCGTAATCGGCAGGATTTTTTCGGACCTGTGTAAACTAAGTAAGATTTTGGAAAGAAACTAAGTAAGTTCTTACTTTTTAAGTAGGCAATAGGTCTTTCCTGTAAGAAACTAAGTAAGAAACTAAGTAAGTAAGCAAGTATTTTCCTTTAAGAAACTAAGTAGTCTAAGCAAGAAGTATTTTCCTTGAAGGAACTACGTACGTTAGTAAGTAAGCAAGAAGGAAGGATTGGGTAGGTACCTAAGTGGGATTTTTGACTGTCAGTCTTGTTTTGGATATCTGTGGATTTTGGGTTAAATCGTGGGTGGTATTTAATTTCATCTTCATTTCATCATTACTAATATTGTACGGCCATCTCGCCGAGCATTATACCGTGGAGATAGTTCCGCGGTGTTTTTCGGTGAGGTATATTGCCGGTTTAAGTGTAGTCCTTTAGTGTTACTTAGTAGGGTTTAGTTTTGGCCCGCTCGCTGAAGCTGTTCACCGTGGAGATAATTCCGCGGTGTTTTTCGGTGAGGTTTAGGGTTTCAGTATTTACCTGTCAGGCACTTAGTAAGCTATTAGGAAACTAAGTAGGGTATTAGTAAGTAAGCAAGGAGGAAAGATTGTATGTGTATTTAATTTTATCATTTGGTTATATAATCGTTGCTGATTTGAAGCCGGTTATGACCTCGGAGAGGGTTAAAGTGAATTATGGGACTGAGGAGGCTTTACTGGCCGTTGTGGATAGAACTAAGTCCCACAAGATTTTTAGTTGGAGGGAGCAATGTGGGAGTTTAACTGAGGAGTTATTTTTGCAGTGTCCCCGTCTCCATGAAGCCAAGGAGCTGGTACATTTATTTGATTTTGAGCCTTATCGGGTGGATCAGGCTGAGCAGGCACAGGGGGTGGGGGAGGGGACTGGGCAAACCTTGACTGCACAAACCCAGTCTGTCCAGAGTCCGGGTCCCGTTCCTTATGGGCATACAGTGTACCCCCCATTTTCGGGTGAAGGCCCAGCTGGGCCTATATCCGGGTCTGCGCCCTCCCCAGCTGGGCCCTCCGCCGACTATCGGCTTAGGGACGATAGCAGTGTACCCTCCAGGGAACCCCCACGTAGGGATTATCCCTCGTCTAGGGATTTCCCTCCTACTAATCATGGTCCATCTTCCAGGGAACCCCCACGTAGGGATTATTATTATCCCCCATCTAGAGAATCCCCTTCTAGTAATTGTGGTCCGCTTTCCAGGGAACCCCCACGTAGGGATTATGTTTATCCCCCTTCTGGGGAATCCCAACCTGACATTCAGTATCCTCCCAGGGAATCCTCACCAGGGGGTCAGGGAGAGTATCGGTCGCAGGGGCGCCGGGATTGGCCCCCCCGTCTGCCGAGGTCACTTAATTACGATGGGCGAACAAGTTGGCATTCCTTTCTCAGGAAGTTCACCAGTTATGCTGTATCGTGTCAGTGGAGCCCAAGCGAGTGTTTGGACGCACTGGGCTGGTGTTTGGAGGGGTCGGCCTCAGATTGTTTTTCGAACCTTAGGGATATGGGCACTAATTCTTATTACCATATGTTAACAGCGATGGGGCGTCGGTTTGGGGCTACCCGATTTCCGGAGGAGGCCATAGCCGAATTTCGAACGGCTCGCCAACTCCCGGAGGAGTCTCTTCTTGGGTGGTCCGATCGGCTCCAAGCTTTGTCCTTTGAAGCTTTTGGGTGGGACCAACGGGGTGACAGCACTCAAATGGTATTGCAGTTATGCCAGGGTTGTACGGATAAGGCGGCGGGTTTAACAGCTCTCAATACGCGCCCGAAGTCCGTCGAGGAGGCCCTGGAAGCCATCAGGTGGGCGCAACATACCCAACGTGTTGTTTATGGGGGCGAGGCTCGCCGTACGTATTCGGCTTCTCGGCAGCAGGTGCAGCAGACTTGCATGTACGATCAGGAGGTGGGCAGGTATGATACGGTAATTTATCATCATAGGCAACCCCATCCCCTAAATCGTTCCCCAACAGTTTCCGAAGGTCAAGATGTTCCCCGTCCGGCTCCTGTGGAGGACCGGGGGAAGGTCACAACGCCTTTTGAAGTTCAGGCCAGGAATGACATTGGCTATTTAAAAGAGGAAGTCGCCAGTCTTAAGACGCATGCGTACAATACCGATTGTATGCTAGAAGAAATACTGAAGACTGTTAAGTCTTTGGAGTTTTCTATGCTTTCCAATGCCCGCCCTCTATCTCCCGTGGCTACTGGTGTTCCGGAAAACCTGGAGGGGTCGGAGAGCGAGGCCGATCTCCGATCTGGAAATCGAGAGGCCTACAATCGGTAAATACTGGGGTAGTTAATGTAGTTAGTGACCCACCTGACTCTTCGGTCGGTCCCTTGGACAAGGTAGTTAATGTAGTTAGTGACCCACCTGACTCTTCGGTCGGTCCCTTGGACAAGGTAGTTAATGTTAGTGACCCGCCTGACTCTTCGGTCGGTCCCTTTGTCAAGGTAAATAATGTTAGTGACCCGCCTGACTCTTCGGTCGGTCCCTTTGTCCAGGTAGTTAATGTTATTGTCGGGGGGGAGGAGGTACATATGTACTATGGAACAGATTCCAGGGCAGCCTGTATCCAGAGAGTTTGTGTCGCTAGGACGGCCGTGGTGCCTCCTTCTAGTGGGAAGCGGGTAGGATGTAAGGTTGTTGGGAGTCCAGGGCTCCAGAGTGAGGACCTTTCCCTTTTCCAGCCCACCCAGAGGCTCCCATTTTGGATTCCTCGGATCGTGTTTGATCGGGGGAAATAACATGTTAAGTATATATATTATGGTTCATTATCAAAGCCATTCACAACGGCTCGTCCGCGAGGACATGGTGCCGGTTCCTGTTCCTGGGAAATAACATGTTTGTATTAAATATATATATTTTAGTTCACTTTTGTTTACACTGTTTAATTTCATTGTAAATCGTCCATTCTGAGTTCCTGAACTTTAAGTGTTGATGTTTTTAAACTGAATAGATAACAATTAAATAAAACTGAAAAGTTTCTGCTTCGGTTAGCGGAGTTATCTATGCTGAATTAGCTGCTCCGCTTTAAGAGCTGACTAGGAAGTATTCTTTCCACAGGGAGACAGAGCACTCAGGTGTGTTCGAGGCCTTAAAACGGCCGGCTTTTGATATCTCCCAAGTGACACTACGTGGTACTGGTTCCAATAATAAGTCAGAATATGATCATGTTTTGGGGGAGTAATTCCTCTGGAGTAATTCCTCTGGATCAACAAGAGCCTTTTGGATTTGCTTGATGGTGTTACGGGCCTGGGTGCCCTGAATGATATCAGGAACTTGCCGGCAGTGGCTATTGTGCCCCCGGGTGCCGAGTGGCCCAGAAAATGTAATTTTATTTTGTTGAAGTGTTTTCACCTTCTATATCATTTTCCATCTGATTTCAGTGATCTGCTTTTATCATTCTAATACTTCTTATATGCACCGTTTGGACTGCCTGTAGGGAGCCGTTTGGCTCTCATGTGGGATTGCCCAGTTTCTGGACATTGTACCATCCAAACTGCACTTGGGGAATGGGGAGCCAGTGGGCTCTTCCCCTTTTCTGCACACTTATTGCCATTCATCGTTTATGTTGATCACTCACACTTTCATGCTCGGTCACCTTGGGAATTGTAATGCCCCGGTTAATCCCTTATGCCTGTGCCAGGACGTTTTGCAATTTGTCATTATGTAATATGTATAACCGGCACGGTAAGGGTTAACTGGTATATTTCTGTTTCTTTATGCCTGTAATGCCCCGGTTAATCCCTTACGCCCGTGCCAGGACTGCTATTCTTTGTCATTTACACGTGACATCGGCACGGTAAGGGTTAACTGGTATATTTCTGTTTCTTTCTGTTCTTGATCCCTGGGACATTTCCGGGACTTGAATCCTATTTAGTACTTAAATATACCAAATTGTGGAATACAGTGCATTTTACATTTTACAGTGCATTTTACCTGTACTTTAAATAATATTTCCCGTACCAAAGTTTGGAATACAGTACGTTGTAAGGTATGATAAAGGCGCCCGCCCCCTGGAAAGACCAAGACTTCACTGGTGCTGGCAAGGAGGGTCCTTGACCCATCCACCAGCGGGAACGGCGTGACCCCGCACTGCGGTACGGGAGTAGTTTTAAGTTAGTTTTAGTTTAGTTTTAGTTAGAAGTAGGCTTCAAACTCATTAAGTGGGGAATAATGTAGTGATTCAGCCTGAGCCATTACGGCTCTGGCGGCATATGCGCGTAAGTCCCGCATTAGGCGACACCCGCGGTAGTTTCCGCGGGCGTGCTTATCACTGGGAACGTTAGATTGAACCTGAGACTGCACGCGACAAACACTGTTGATTGCCCGTCTCTTCTGTCTCTTCGGTCTACTACTACTAGCGACGGTGGAGCTCCACTCAACGAGCAACACTTCAAGCGCTTCTTGAGACAGACTTCAAGCAGTATAGTATACAGCCTATGGTAGGATAAATCCTTATTATAGTCGTTTATGTAGTTATAGTTAAGATTTAGGCCCAGTAAGTTATATTCCGCTCCGTCACTACAATGTTTTATGTCAATTGGCAATACAGAAACCAAGAACAATTAATAAGTAATATCAAGATGAATCTTTCTTAGTTGAACCTTTCACGCATTTATATTCATGCCTTGATCTTTCCCTTCCACTTTCCTTATGTTTCTCCTATTTTATTATATCAGTTTGTTGATTGTGAATATATATATTTATTGTAATTAAACTCTATATGCAATGTTGTTAAAATGATATAAAGTAATAAAGTGCCTCGTATGAGGAAAAGAGAAAAAAAATAAGAATAAATTGTAAATGAAAATAGAGTGAAATTTTCAAACAGATCAAAGAGTTTGATTGTGTTTGTACAATGGTAGCTCAATTTTCTGCGACTTGCTCAGTGATAATTGCTATGTGGTCACTACATTAATTAAGTTCCAAATTCGAACCTTAAATCTTTAACTCTAGCCATATTAATAAGTCTTTGATGAAATAAAGCCCAGAGCATGAAATCATACAGAACTGTATGAGAAATAATGAAATACTTATTACTTACTGTGTTGTTTTCATTACAGATTTCCTTCGTTCCAGATGGTTGGCTTGGGCCAGGTAAGCTACATGTAGTTCTACAGTAATTAGCTTTCCTTTCAAAGTGAAAAAAATCTATTAAGTGAAAAAATGATGCATCAAAGTTTGGATATATTTCCAAACTTTCGGGATCATTTGATTCCCCTATTTATTCACTATTGGGGTTAGAAGAACTAGGTCTACAAATACATAATATTAACAATCACAGAAAATTTCCAGCATATACAGTCAAACCTGCAACAGTGGTCACCTGTCTACAAAGACCACTTGTCTACAAAGGCCACTTTTTGTGTTTTCCCTCGGCGGTCGCTATAGACGGGTTTGACTGAAGTATATTATGTATATTGTAGCAAGTCAACATGACAAATTTGAATTTAGTACATGTACATAATTATGTATAAGAAGAAGTTCATTTTATGAATACAGCGAAAATCAGTATTTGCATTTATGTTTTATCTTTGGATATTTTAATATTTGTAGACACAAGGAAATTAGGGAAATCCTCTATGGTACAGATTTATAAAAAAAAGGACAAAATGTTTACATTTTAACATTTATAACTAGATGTATTTCTTTTCATTTACTCCAACAGATGCTGTCAACAATTGTCATACTATTCATAGGTAAAAGTTTGGGCATCATCAGCTATCCTGATTGGAACTGGCATATTCCAAAAAAGGTGAGAAAAATCTTAAATCGTAGAAAATCTAACTCATGAAAGTAGAATGAATACTGTGAAGAAGAAAAAAAATGCAGAGGAATCATCCAGTATATAGCTGTTGATGGCGTCACGACAAGTACTGCATTATAAAACACCTTGTCCAAGAGAACTAGACCAGACTCTGAAGTGCATTGTGACATTACCAATAGGAAAGTCTAAATTTCCTAAATGATGTTGATTGTCAAAAAAAAGTCTTGTTAAAGAAAACAAACATGAAAACAATCCTTTATTTAATTATTTCTTGTTATTTTCTGCTTCTGTCAAGGCTAACTGAACTCATATAATTCATATAAGATTCCTTCCCCATTCATTACAGTGCGTAAAAGACAGAGTAGTGATTGTAGTTTCAGGCAAGCATCTCGCAAGCTTTGTGGTTAGTGAAACCAACATTTTGTGATCTGGTTGAATATATTTGTATTTTGTAATTTGTAATAAATTATCAATGGATATTGATTGTTTATTTCAGATATTTCCGTTGCCTCTTATCTACATCTTGAATCTTGTGTTTGGATTAGGAAGCACACAACGTCTCAAGTGAGTACCGTTAAACACAGCATGTATCAGTCTAGATATAATTTTTCTACTCAATACATAATGCGTTTGTAATCCAAATCCTTTTTTGTTGTAATGGCTTTATTAACATTTGATATCATATATGAGAATAATTGATTGATTTTGTGAACCCCCCCCCCCCCCAAAAAAAAAAAAAAAAATAAAAAATTATAATAAAACCTTTAAAAAAATAGATGTTGTATTGCTCTTTTAATAAGTTTTTTTTTACCGTTTTTTTAGAAAAAAAATGTATGAAAACTGAGAAATATCCGCCCAAAGAGGGAGTAAAAAAAAGAAAAAGATTTCCGACCGGCCGACCCATGTTTTGGCACCTTAAGGGCAATACAACTTATTCTTTTTTAGGCCTAATAATAGTAGTAATAATATTGAACTAGCAGGACCCGTGGAAAATCCACGGGATTCTAGGGGGAGGGGAGGGGGGGGGGGGGGGGGGGGGGGGGGGGTAAATAGAAAGAGGCCTAGGTTTATGTGCTATCGAAAATAAAATTTGATTATATTTATATAGGGTCTAGACGATTTTTATAAAATATACGCTGTTTGACCATGAATGGCGCACAGTAATACCCGTTTTAATGCATTGATTTGATGAAGGAACTGTATCATAGTAAAAGTATTCTATCCAGCTAATCATATGTCTATGTTCTAAAAAGACCATCTGAATTTTCTTGTGAAAACTTTACTTTGAAAAATGATTATCGAAATTCAGCATACAACTATACATGGGCAGAATAATCACAATCTAAGCCCAGGTTTCATACCTCTATAGTCACGAAACTATATTGAAATAGGGGCAATAAGAGCAATTTCAAAGTGTTATCGAGTCTACTCTATAATAGCTCAGCTCAGCTCACACACAGTCACAGTTCCGACAGTGCTCGGCAGCAGTGGCGCACTGCACTGTCCGTGTGTGGACTCATGGCAGCTAGCTTGCAACTGGACTGTCAGTTACGATGAATTTCTTGTGAAAACTTTACTTTGAAGAATGATTTTCAAAATTCAGTAAACATGAACAGGATGATACCAAAGTAACCCTGCTTGCATACCTCTATTCACGTAAACTATATACAAATCACGGCAATCATCATAGAATCAGAGTCGAACCGACGGCCGACTGAGCTGTGAGTGTGACGGTCGGTGAGCGTAGAATCATCGCATACATTATACACGCAGCAGGTCCGCCTGGCCTACAAATCATATCATATAGAAAGACACATAACACGGGTAAAGCCCAACCCGTGAGAGCGTGCATTTCCTACATCCCATCACCCGGGTGAGTCATCTGTTAATATGTATTTCTTTTACATGCTACAAAGCATATCCTATAGCAAGAGGTCTAACTCGGGGTACGCCGCACCCATTACAATTAGATTTGCTACACCCGTTGCTGCGAGTGGATTCTCGTCTATTGTGTGTCTCTTCGTCTCTCTTTGATAATTAGACAGAGGGCGGGAGCACGCCTTGTCAACTCGCACTCGCGGGTTCGTTGCCTCTTTGCAATCCACGACGCCCGCTGTGCTCTCGGCCGCCCGTCCTCCCCGGGACCCCGAAACCGCGTTTAACGACATGGACGTCGATCGCGGGGTCGAGGTGGCATGCGGGTTACGGGAGACAGGTCTCGTGGAATTGTGCCGCCATCCCCGCGCCAGGGCAGAGGCGGTCGCGGTCGGGGAAAGACGTTTTTGAGGAACTGTTTTGGACCCCCCGCGGCGATTAGTGGTATTAGTATATAAGATAATAATGATAATAATGATAGATCAACAACAATACAATTTAAATGGGTCATGAGAAAAAGTGATACATTAACTATTAGGTTTTGTCCTAGACCTGTTTAATGTTTTTCCAAGTACTAGCCATGGTGGCCAATTTTTAAAAAATTAAAAAACAGTTGGTAATCTTTAAGTATAAATTGCCTCCCATAGCAAACTTATCCATTTTTTATATTTTGTGAAGTACAACTTATCATACTGTAACTTATGAGTCTAAATGTTATTTGCATGAACTGTAACATGATCCAGAGTTTGATTATTTTGAATGAACTCTATTTTTTCTTCTTCTTTTCACAGTCTTCCCATGTTTACAGTACTGAGGAGATTTTCCATCCTCTTCACCATGATTGCAGAATTCTTAATTTTAGGGTAAGTTGCCATCAACCTCCTTTAATTCCTACAGCGAAAAATTACCAGTATTCCTTTTAACCACGAACTGTTGAGTGTTTCATTACCAGCAATTAAGGCCTTAAAATTTAGCTTTATATATTGGGTTGATACTTGATGGAGTAATCCCTTTGGCAGCTCACTCACGAAGCTGTACTGGGATGGTAGGTGAGGCGAGTAACTACAAGGAGTGCCATGAAGTGCAGAAATAGTGTGTGGACAAAGCACTTGACAATTTACAGTAAAATATGCTGAGTCCAGTGCAAGTAAAAACCACGCCATTAAACTTGGACTTGAAATTTAAATGAAGGCATGAAAAAAGTTAGAAACTTGTTTGAGGTTATTGACTCATAAAGTTAATATCAATATTGGCAAATCACAGGTATTATCGATGTCTGATACATTAGTAGGAATCTCAATAGATACGTCATGCTGCTGCAATATCATTAGAACACTATTTGCCATTTTGGAAAAACAATGTTATTTTTTTTTTGTTCTTCTTTTCTTTCTTTTGATGCTTCGCCATATTTTCTAAAACTATTTTCTTAAATCATTTTCTTAAAATAAGAGTCCTACATGTACATGTGGTATACTGTATGTACATGTAATTTTAAAAAGATTTGTTAGTAATAAAAATGTCCATTGTGTTGACAATCCATTTATGTTATTACCTGGAATGAATTTTAATAGCCTGCTTCTTTCTTCCTATCCTTGCTGTCTTTAATCTCAGAGTAAGAGCTTCAACCAAGGTCCAGGTGGTCGTTATTTCTATGATTATTGGTGCTATCATTGCAGCAAGGTACGAAAATTTCTCTCTCTCTCTCTCTCTCTCTCTTTCCCTCTCCATTTTCTCTTTATTTTCTCTCTCTCCCTTTCTCTTTCTTTTTCTCTTTCTTTTTCTCTTTCTTTTTCTCTTTCTTTTTCTCTCTCTGTCTATCTATCTATCTATCTAACTATCTCCCTATCTCTATTTATCTATCTATCTATCATTTAAAGGAACCGTCAAGTTTTGTTACAGAGGGTGCTACACAACATTTTTTTTGTGGGATAATGAAGAACCGAGTTTCAAATTTGAAAGAATATACAATTTAAATGACAAAATGATCTTTGTTTGATCAAAATCGGTTCACAGACGGCTGAAATATCCATAAATATAACCATTTCTAATATTTGTGGTGCCCCACAAATATTCAGTAATTTGAACCAGCCATGGAAAAAAGAGATAGGGCCTTATACATTTTATTCCAGCCAATGCCAATATAGGCTTTTTGTAGGCTTTTTGTAGGCTTTTTGTGTTGGTTATAATATGCACAACCAGCCGGCCCTTGTATTGTTATTACTAATTAATTAATTTTTTAACGGTCACCATATTTTTTTTTAAAGTGGTGCTGAATTAGTATGATCATTTTCAATCTAAATTCACACATTTTGGGGTCTAAAATTACCTTCATAGCAATTTTAGGTTCTAAAAGTGCACTAGAAATGTCATAAATAAGAATAAGAGCGATAACCATGCACTTTGAAGACATTTGTGGTCTTAAACAAGAACTCAACTATCCCTTTAAAATGGAATCTTCTTGAGTCCCTATGTGCAATGGGTCACTCTTTTATGAAAGAAAAAACAAATTTTAAAGGATGCCGATGAATATTAAATTAAACATGGATGTTTGATTCTTGAATGTAAATTTAATTCCATAATATCCTAATTAGTAGAATATGGCAAACTGGGAATAGACATATTCAAGAGCATCTAATAGTTGAAACTCCATCCTAGATATCTTAATTATCAGAATTAAATTAAATCAAATTGATTAAATATCAAAATCATTTTAGCTCTTTACTTTATATTAATGAATATTTTTGATTTTCTGTTAATTCCTCTATCTGTCTCCTTTCTTTCCCTGTTAGCGATGACTTGGCCTTTGATGCATTAGGGTATTTCTTCATTCTAACCAACGATGTCTTCACAGCAGCGAACGGGGTGGTCATGAAGAAGAAACTCAATTCTAAGGTGAGGTATTGCTGAGTTTGTAAAATCATTGGGAAAAAAAGAAATATATAAGATTTATAGAATACAGTTGCCTTTGCTGAATATATCTTTTAAAGATTTTATTACATGGTTTTGGGCATTCATTTTTTATTTGAGGCAGAATCTGGTTTTGAAATTGTGGGGTGGTGTTTGCTCTGGTCAAGAATGAAGGAACCGTTTCCTGTGCATGGGTTATAGGTGTATTCACATTATGCACTGGTAGTTTGTTTGTTTTTCTGTTTCCTTACTAGATATTTTGTTGGTTTTATTTTTATGTTGAATAGGCTGTGGATTTGATTGTTTTTTATTTTGTTGTTGCCAGGACTGTGTTGCTTCAGCGTACGTTAGCCCCTTTGTATACCGTATCTGCTGCTCCTGCTTTGCCTTTTTGGCTTGTGCGCAGCCGCTGTAGGCTGCAGAGTGGTTTTCCCCGCAATTTACGCACTTTCGGTCTTCTTTTTTTTTTACACTCATCGAACGAGTGGTTTTCTCCACTTCGGACGCATCTTTTTTTGGAATTACATTGTGAAGCATTGTGTCTGAATCTTTGGCATTGATAACATCTAATTACAGGTGGGACATATTGTTTTACATGCTTGATTTCAGGGGGATGGTGACTTTACTGAAGGTTAAAATAACGCAGCGCATGGGAATTTGAGAGATATGGCGCTTTCCTTCTATTATTTCGTCTGTTCGGACTCTTTTCACCATCCTCTTCACCCCAATCACATTCCGAGTTTTAAATTCATTTAGAATTTCCTCTTCCTTCATTTCCAGTGGGATATCATAAAAGAATCCCTTTGCTCCGTTCACTCCTTCACTGACTTTTACATCAACACTTCCTATTTTGTTAATCTCTGAAATAGCCTTTACCTTCTTAGTGTTCTTACACTTGATTAAAAGTCCTGTATTCGTGGTTTTGATAAATTCTACAGGGTTCACGTAGACTTCCCGAATTGCCTTGGCTATTTGTATGGGATTGACATTGTTCAATGATTTTGTCTTATCTATTGGGGTTATGAAAATGTTTAAACCCTGTTGGTTGGAGTTTGGTGAAGTGATGTAGAAAGTGTTGTTCAAGGAGTATGATTCTAAGGCTTATGATTCTGGTTTTAAGTTCTCTATATTAGTAGAGCTTCTCCCACGTCTTCTTTTTGCAGGATTGTCTTCTCTTTTTCGGCTTTGCACAGTTTGAAATACCATTTCATCCTCGCTCATCATGGATCTTATCAGCTCGGAGGCAGGAGCCGCCATGATTGGCTTTGGAAAAAAAGGCGCGAAATTTGATTAGCGTATCGTGCAGCTTATTATAATGAAGTGCTGAAAAGTGTTTGAAAAGCCCACAGTGTGTGCTTACCTTACCTTAGTCTTCTTCTTCTGTTTTGGCTTATTGGCGATTAGTTAGTTGTGACTATTGTCGCCAAAATACTTTACGTCACATGATTATCTCTCATTTTGTTTAAATTAATTTTTTTATATTTCGTTTTATAGTTATCTGTCTTTTAAGATAATATTGAAGCAGTTTTGTGCAACTCACCAAATTGACCAAGCCCCCCCCCCCCCACTCAATTCCACATAGTGCTTACCCTGCCCTTGTCTATACGATGCCATCTAACCACTCAGCGTATTTAATACATTCACTGACTTTTCAGTGGGCATACATGTAGGTAACTTAGGAATAGGCTAGGGGGCATTTGTGTACCTAAGTTTTCCAAGGGGTTCTTATTCAATCTCAAAATTTGAAAATAAGACAAAATTTAAGCAAAAGATTTGTGGGCTTGGTAAGTGTAACCTTACAGTGCAGATTATTTGTTATATCTATATAGACATCAACACATACACATATACACATGCATATAAGTATATACATACATGTACATACCTACACACATGCATCTGCCTTTAAATTTAAAAATCTATACGTAGCCTATCATGCAGGCTTGTCCAAAAAAAAAGGATTTTTAGAGCATTTTGTTAAAATACGTAATTCTGTTAAGTACAGCCTCCGATGTATGGTATCCTTCAGTTCAAATTTTCTTTTCTCACACACAATTTCACTATTCAGGAGCTGGGGAAGTACGGTATCCTGTACTACAATGCCATCTTCATGTTCCTCCCTACCCTGGCCGTGTCCTACTTCACAGGCGATCTTGACAGGGCCATGGCGTTCCAGAGCTGGGGAGATACCACGTTCCAAGTTCTCTTCTTCCTCTCGTGTGTGATGGGGTAAGTATATTATACAGTTTCACATTGTTTTAGCGACCACCTGTATAGAAAGACCACCTGTCTGTATATAAAGGCCACATTTTTTGTTTCCCTTGAATTTGTGTTCTCATTGAAATCTGTAATAAAGGAACCTGTACATAAAGACCACCTACCTATAAAGACCACCTTTCATGTTTCCCTTGAGCGGTCTTTATATACAGGTTTCATTGTATCATAAAAAATAATAGATATGAATGAAATTATGTGTTTGCTGTTGTTGTAAAGATGCCATTGTTCATTACTTGCATATTGTTATAGACCAATTAATGGACAGAATATAATGATAATGTAATGATATTCTGTTCTGGTATAGTGCTCATGTCTGACAGACCTGACACTCCTGGCGCTCCATAATTATTACCCTGGCTTTAGCATGGCGGCCATTATGGCATTGGTTAAACTGGATTTCAATGTGTCATGACAATTACATACTTTTACCAAGCAAAGGTAGCACCGTATTCAGAATACTGCTCCATGATGTCATCACAAATCATTATGCATTTCATTGTTGTGACACATTCAGTATGTTTATATGAATACATTGGTACTAATTATTTCCCAATTGTCTCTTTTATTTTGTTCTCTTTCTCTAGGTTTGTGTTGATGTATTCAATAGTAATGTGCACCAGTCTCAACTCAGCATTAACGACAACCATTGTAGGCTGTCTAAAGGTAATAATTCAAATGACCACTCTTTTTATAAGTTCCATTTTACTTTTGAAGTCAGCCCTGGAACGTCCGTACAGCACCAACACTAGATACTCTAGGAAGTACTTTAAAAAAAAAAACTAGTTTTCCCCGTCTTTATACCATGTTAAAGTTGATACTCTAAAACAATCCCAAATACTGAGATAATTACATAAATAGAAAGCTTTTAACCCCCATAATAACACCAAATGGTGTCCACCCGACAAAACAAGTTTAGAATAATGAATTTATTCGAGTAAACTCTACCAAAATATCTAAGTCTGAAACCCGGAAGTGCACGTAGAGTTGGGCCTCTATCCGTGACGTCACAAACGGGACTCATGGGCTCAGTGAGAGTGAATAGCAGTGATATCCCTACGTAAATGCTATCCTGTCAGAGCTTAGATTTGTTGTTGTTAAGGAGTATATTTGATGGATTTTCTGTTTTCATTTGAATGAAGAATAACGAAGCAACATTTTCCAGTCGCTGATTTCTTTTTATATCCTCATATTCACCTATTTGGTAGAGATTTAAGATGAGTTTACTGCTTAGGAATTAAAGTTAAATCGTGCACGTATGAATAGGCGGATGCATTATATTGTCATCAGATAAGGTACAGGAGCAGTTTTGTAAAACGAATAGGTCTAGAACTATACTTATCATAGATGTGTGTGACTTCCTCAAAAAAGGATACAGTACCAGTTAAACATTTTATGTTGTAAAATATCAAACTTGAACGAGATCATGCAAGCGCGCTTCCTCTATAATATTTTGGCGAGTGATGCGGCTCTTGCATGAACGTTCGTGAAGCGAGCAGAATCGGGAGGTAAGACCAAGCCGCTGCGCTAGGCGCTGCTTGCTTGTGATGGAACGTATGTGCGCTAGTTATATGTTTATCGGCAATTGCAAGAGAATGAAAGCGACGTTGCCAGCTAAGAAAAACAACTAACAAAGACTTGGTAGATGAAGGATATTCAGGGCCATGGAAGGCGAAAGACATGGGAAAAAGGAAGAAGAAACCATCGGGAGTTCGCTGTAGTGTATGGTAATGAACTGTGCATGGGTAGACAGCTACTGTTCACTCCGTGCCTGGGCCAATTTCAACACCAAAACAAAAATTACATGGTGAAAATATCGACTAATACTGTAGCACATCGTTGGCATGTATATGTCATAATGTTTAAAAGGGGAATTGATATTAATACTATGAAGTACTAGGGGAAGGTAAAGAATTGTACATAGAATTATGATTTATTAGACTTTTCAGCCTTTGAAACAAAAATATGCAGAAAATCGTATCACTCTGCACATGTTTGCTATGGAACATCCGGGTACGTGAATATACTCTTTCCAGGACGTGAGGTCATAAATAGTAGACCAGCGCCGTGACTGATTTTCTATGCAAAGAGAGGCGGATATTTTCGACATTTCAATCAAGGATTTTGAGTAGACAGAATTTTTGTGTGATATACTAAGTAATTGAAAAACTTAAAAATAACATATACTTGCCGTAGGTAACAAATTAAGGGACATTTATTTGCTTAGAGTATCAACTTTAAGCACTGTGAAACCAATCGTATAAGAGCGCTATATACATGTAAATGATCATATTATCATTGTTATTATTATTATTTAATATGTGATTGGAGTCCAGAATTGTCTAATATGATTATTACCGTTGCAAAGTTTTGTAGTTCTGCCAGTAAAAACAACATGGCCCAGATGATTCTGAATAATGCTAATATTTTTTTGTTGTCTACCCCTCTCTCTCTCTCTCTTGACAGAATTTGTGTGTGACATATGCAGGGATGTTCATAGGAGGGGACTATATTTTCAGTTGGACAAACTTCATTGGGCTCAACATCAGGTAAGAATATAGTCGGACCAAGACGTGAAATTGAACTGCTCGAACTTCCATTTTCTACTCTTACAGCTAAAAGGCAAGGCGGTTCAGTGTCTCCTTTTAGTGACGTTTTATTTCCATCTTTTGGGAAGAGCAAAAATTGCTGGAAATTTTGAGTCCATTTCTGTTGCAGTACATAGTGCTGTTCATGGATAAGAACAATTTCAATGGCGAGTCATCATTGACGTCTCTAAATTGGTAACGCAGAATTAAATTTGTAATCAATATTTTTGTGTACATATTTATTAGCAATTTCTTGGTGTTGTTTTGTCCTTTTTATTCACACTATTTCATTTTCATTTTTTTTTTATAAACAAAAAAAAATTCACCAAAGTCATGGAAATTGATCATGTGTGGGCCCTCTGTGGCTATGGCATCCTCCCAGTTCAAAGATAAACTTGAGTTCTGGTAAAAAAAAAAAAATGAATTCTCACAGAATCTAACGAAACTTACACTGAATGTTCAAAATTACAAATAAATGTGCCATGTGCCAAACAATTTTGGAAGAAAATGTATACTGGCTGAGTAATGAGCATAGAAAGATAAGGAAATTAAGGTAGTACTAGCCCTGACACCATTTGTGTTGTCCCATATACTTCTTTCTGTGTACAGTGATTGTTACTTTACCAAGACTGGGCCAAAATTATGATGATTTTGATGACTCCAAAACCTTGCATTACACACCAATACTTACATGCTATATGATCAACTTTTCTGATCTATTCCACACGCTTTCTTTCACAATGCAATCGCATTACCAGAACTCACCTTTATCTTTAAACTGACAATGGGCATGGCATTCATTTGGCGCACCCATACCAATGGTGCTGTATCTCATCTTTTAAAAAAAGGCAAAAATGGGTTATGGAAAATTATGGAATTTGGTTCTTATATTTCTGTTGGAACCTTTATATATATATATATATATATATATATCAAAGGATAATATTGCAAAGCCATTATGTCGCACAAAGCAATCATTTCCCGAATTGATGTCTATTTTTGTGAAACGAGCGACCATCCAGAGAGGCAAAGAAAACAACTGAAGTGTTAAACATTTTTTTTTTTTTTTGGTGTTGCAATTTATCCAAATACATTTTTCTCTACCTCTATTTTGCAGTGTGTTTGGAAGCATAGTATATTCTTACTTCACGTTCATTGAGAAACAACCACCATCTAAACCAGAACAGACAGCTCAGAAAGGCAGTGTGGAGAATGGGACGATTAGAGTATGACCCATGCTGGACCACGCCACATCTAGACCTGGGGCCCGTTTCACAAAGCCTTTTTTCAATGACAAATGACAAAATCAGTGACAAATCTACTGATAACCAATCAGAAGCAAGGATTTCACTAGCCTATAACAAAAACTGTCATTTGTCACTGATGACAAGTTTTGTGAAATGCCCCCAGGTCTATAAGTGAATGCATGGACCTACAACGATAATTCAAAAGGTATGGTTCAGGCAGGACCAGCCATCCTGGACCTGGTTTATCAGATATAGAACTACCACTTAATAGATGTAGAAGGAGTCTAGTAAAGCATGAACCAGGCTGGACCATCCCCGGCTAGACCTGTTCTATCAGTGGTTTGTTGGACCTACAACATTCTTGACCCTGTCGGAGATGACGATCGGTTGTAGAACTTCCATTGCATGGACCTATACTCAATTGTAGATGTGGCCAGTAACATGGGACAAAATAGCTTGGACCAGCCCATTAATAAGGCTGGATATATATGTTGTGCGGGAAATGTGCACTCCTAAGGTGCATGTTGTTTTGTTAGCCGGTAGTGGCCATGGTATTATAGGTGATGAATTGCATTTTACAATCGTATTTTAGGTTTTTCCTGGCGATGCTTTATTGCTGCAATCTGAAGTTGAAACTCATGTTCAGTTTTGGTAAGTCCTCCAAAACTCCTCGTCAAATTTTATACTACCTTGTAAGTCCCGTCAGCTTTCCCTCCAAACTATGAGTAGTACATGTTTCTTCTGAATCTCTGTTATATGTATATGATTTTTTTAAATAATTTAGAAACCATCCTGGGATGAACAAATTCTAATGACAGTAACCTGCACTACTCACATGTAAACCTATGGCAACTGTGAGTATACGCTACAGTTGACACACACCTTGTCTCTTAGAGCGCTGAGATTAATCCATCAGGGTGGAAGGGTCCTAGCATAGGGGAGTGTATAGCCTTTATCTAGCATTCCCTGCAGATATTTACACTAGTCTACATGTACAATTCACCGGAAATCATGGATAGCATACTAAATGATTTCACACATGTATCTTTTGATTCAAGGATAACCCCATGAGACTATATATTTAACATTTTTCTTTCCAATTTTCTTTTGCTACCTTAATTGTACATGAGCTGTTAAATATAGACTGATTCTTTTTACTACAAAAGACATTTTACATTTTGAAATTCAACTTCAAAGAGGCTCAAGTTTGGTGATGGGAATACATAAAAGTTATGGGTGACAGTGAAGTTTGCAAATGTTTACTGGTATGTTACCTGAGAATCTTATCACAGTTGCAGGTTTCAGGCTTATGCCTTTTTGATGCGAGATCGTGTAGGGTAAATATTTAAGATAAGGCTGTAATCCCGTGTGACGTTTTAAATAATGATTGTCTTTAATATATTTATATGACAGAATATAAATACATGTACAGTTTATCATGTGTGTGCAAGTGTACATAAAATTTGTATATATATCATATGAATAATGAAAATGCATGAAATGACAATTGAGCCCTACCAACTCTATTTTAATGATTTCAAGATCAGATTTTGTATTTTTCTACATTGCCAAAGCTGATATGAAAAGACATGTATATGAGTCGAAAATTCTGAATATACTATGCTCTAATGAAGGATTTTTGTTTAATTTTAGGGGTGAATACAGTGTTTGTTTACAATAGATTCATAGACTGGTGGTATGCATGCATTATTTCTTTAGATATTCTGTATATGCAATGTAGGGTACATACAGGGTATATTTGCATTTTTTATATTTTTTAACCTTGCACCTTGAGTGATGTCTTTGGATAACATTCATGCTACCTTCCACAACCAATGTGCACAGTTTTACATGAACAGTAGATAATATTGTGCATGTTTGACTCAAAGGGCAACCTGAATGTGATGCAGGAGGATGCTACACTCTGTACAGCACAAAAAGCAAGCGTTAAGGTATAGTGATAACAATACTGTATTTTATGATGTAATAAAAGAAACTAGATCATTGAACATCGAGTGATCAGATTTATGCTGACCACACTATCCCATTTTTTATATCCAAGTTGCGGTAATAACAGGGTACATTTGATATGCATGTACTTTCATATTTCATTTATACAATTCAGGTTGTAGAATTAAAGGTAAAGACCAGTATTGGAAACGCCCCAATTTCAAAAAATGAAATGGAAGCTCTTATTACCAATCATGTGAAAGAATATGTTTTGAATATTACATGATGATAAAAATTTTGACGGGAAACCGCCTACTAATTGATATATTTGGTAAATTAGTGTATCTCTTGCCTGTTGAGAGATATGAAATGCACGTGTCGCGCACGTGTGTGTAGTCCCATATACATCTTTCTGTGTACAGTGCTTCTAACTTCATGAAGACTTGGCCAAATTTCTTATCATTTTGATGATTCCAGAACCTTGCAGTACATCTATGCTAGGTGATCAACCTTTTCTGATCGATTTCACAACGTTTCTTTCACAATGCAATCGCATGTCCATAACTGGTCTTTAGCTTTAAAGAAAGTGCAGTTGGTGGACATTGATATGCTATGGAAATCAGTTCCCAACTCATATTTAAAAGATGCATCATGGCTGATAGTGATGATGGTGATGGTAATGGTGATGGTGGTAGGGACAGACAACGATTGTGGTGATAATGATGTAGATAGTGGTGATAGTGAGGTTAGTAGTTGTAGGGCCTCATCTTTGAATGAGCACAAATTAAGCAAGTGTAGTCGGTGATAACATTCACTGTTTTCTTTGAAATCGTTTTATAGGCTGAAAGAGTTGTGCTAATAGTGGTGTACATTTTAAGTATTCATACCTTTCAAGTGTACTTGTTTTTTTACCTGTATGTATTATAATTTATGAGAATGATATATGTTATAAGAGTAATGGTTCATGCCTGTATGTAGAGGTACATTAATATATTCACTCAATTTTAAGTTATATATACTTTGGTATTAAGGACCAAAAAGCATTACTTTCATGAATATTAATTATTATTTGCGTTATTTTTTAAAGGTTGTAAGCGTACATGTATTGTATGTATTTCATTCAAATTATTGAAATGTGTGCTGAATCATAGTGAAACTGCCAACAACAACTGCTGTTTATTTATGTTTACTTGTACATGTACCGGTATTACCTTATGGCCCCCACTGTGATATTCAAATTTTGCAGAGTGTTAAAACTCTTGAAAACAGAAACCATATGTACATGTATTAACAAACACATGTATACAGATAATACTGTAGGCAATACAATTTTGAGGTTAAAACTACACATTTTAGTGCCAAATTTCTGATGGGCTAATATTTATTATAATCATCCTTTTTGATTATTCTTTTTTTTTTTCATTTCAAAGACTTTATTTTCTGCAATCAAACAAATCAGTTATACAACAAATATGGATAATTATATAAAACATAAGGTATACAAACAATATACAAAATATAGAAACAAATGTATAATACATGAGTAAGAGTAAACTTATACGTTGGGCCATTGCGTGTATAAAGAAAGCAGAAGGTCGCCGTTATAAGCAAAAGCTTGAGTAGACGGTCAACCGAGCTAAGATAAAAATGAGTTGTGAAATTTTGGCAAATTAACAAGAAGAGGGGGCCATGATACTCAAATGATATATATTACAATTAAATGTGAATATAAACAGTTGTATCCAATATAAATAATGATAGAATTAGCATATGAATCTCATATTAATATGGCTACTAATTATATGTTAATGACAGAGATAAGAGAGACACTAAACAAAAACAAGGGTGCGAGTGGTGCGTGTGTGTGCAAGTGCAAGTGTCCTCATGCGCCAAAATGTTGAATCATCAGTATTACTATGTAACGTCAATTACTATGAAACTTTTGTGATTTTATCCTTTTCATTGGGGATCATGTACACTCAATTTATTTTGTGAGAGAAAATGTGTGATTAAAAAAGCTGTACATTTTATGTTTCAACTCTTACATCTACGCTTTTTTTTTTTTTTTTACCTACACTGTACCATCTCTTTGCAAATATATTGGTTATTGAAAGACAGAATGTATGACTTGGTCGAAAGACAGGACCAAGTCATATGGATCCAGAAGATTCTCATCTGCAGCTTCGCATCTCTGGAACTCTCTCCCCACTACTTTCCAAACCATCACAGACTTAGCTTTCTTTCAATCTCAACTAAAAACCTACCTGTTTAAAAACGCTTTCTAATGTCATTTAAACTGTATTATTGTATTCATCAGAATTTAATTACATTACTGTACTCTTATATAATTTGCCTTCATTTCTGTGTTATGGATGTATATAATGTTTGATTATTATTAATTTTTTCCTTATTTTGATATATATCTTTAGTTCATGAATTAGTTGTTATGTGTAATTTTGTTGTATTAATATTGTTAAGCGCATTGCTATTTTCTTCGAAGATGAAATGCGCTATATAAGTCTAGGTTATTATTATTATTATTATTGTATTTATTTCTAGGATTTTTTCGATATTTATTTATTTTCTTCATTCTTTTTCTTCACATCACATTGTCTTTTTCTTTTCTTTTTTGAGCCTGAAGGGCATTTATTCTATGTAAAAGAAATGTAATTTTTACAGACAACTTTTATCAATCATCTGGCTAATATCAACCCTAGAATTAGTAAGAAAAAGCCCTTATGAGCCCTTGTCATTTTTATCCAAAAATTGTAGTTTACTAATTTTCATGAAATTTCAGCCAACATCTTTTTTCAATGAACTTGTGTCATATGCACCTTGATTTAATGAAAATTCACGTTGATAAGCCCGATTCGAAAATTTTGAAAATCGACTGAAAATTATGAAATACTATGAGCTAACCCCTTGCCATTTTTATCAAAAAATTGCATATTGCTAATTTTCATGAAATTTCAGCCGACATCTTTTTTCAATGAACTTGTGTCATATGCACCTTGATTTAATGAAAATTCACGTTGATAAGCCCGATTCGAAAATTTTGAAAATCGACTGAAAATTATGAAAAAACTATGAGCGTTAGCTCATAGTTTTTAATAATTATGAAAATTATGAAAATTATGAAATACTATGAGCTAACCCCTTGCCATTTTTATCAAAAAATTGCATATTGCTAATTTTCATGAAATTTCAGCCGACATCTTTTTTCAATGAACTTGTGTCATATGCACCTTGATTTAATGAAAATTCACGTTGATAAGCCTGATTCGAAAATTTTGAAAATCGACTGAAAATTATGAAATACTATGAGCTAACCCCTTGCCATTTTTATCAAAAAATTGCATATTGCTAATTTTCATGAAATTTCAGCCAACATCTTTTTTCAATGAACTTGTGTCATATGCACCTTGATTTAATGAAAATTCACGTTGATAAGCCCGATTCGAAAATTTTGAAAATCGACTGAAAATTATGAAAAAACTATGAGCCATTTTTATCAAAAAATTGCATATTGCTAATTTTCATGAAATTTCAGCCGACATCTTTTTTCAATGAACTTGTGTCATATGCACCTTGATTTAATGAAAATTCACGTTGATAAGCCCGATTCGAAAATTTTGAAAATCGACTGAAAATTATGAAATACTATGAGCTAACCCCTTGCCATTTTTATCCAAAAATTGCATATTGCTAATTTTCATGAAATTTCAGCCAACATCTAATTTCAATGAACTTGTGTCATATGCACCTTGATTTAATGAAAATTCACGTTGATAAGCCCGATTCGAAAATTTTGAAAATCGACTGAAAATTATGAAAAAACTATGAGCCATTTTTATCAAAAAATTGCATATTGCTAATTTTCATGAAATTTCAGCCGACATCTTTTTTCAATGAACTTGTGTCATATGCACCTTGATTTAATGAAAATTCACGTTGATAAGCCCGATTCGAAAATTTTGAAAATCGACTGAAAATTATGAAATACTATGAGCTAACCCCTTGCCATTTTTATCAAAAAATTGCATATTGCTAATTTTCATGAAATTTCAGCCAACATCTAATTTCAATGAACTTGTGTCATATGCACCTTGATTTAATAAAAATTCACGTTGATTAGCCCGATTCGAAAAATTTTGATAATCGACTGAAAATTATGAAAAAACTATGAGCTAACCCCTTGCCATTTTTATCAAAAAATTGCATATTGCTAATTTTCATGAAATTTCAGCCGACATCTTTTTTCAATGAACTTGTGTCATATGCACCTTGATTTAATGAAAATTCACGTTGATAAGCCCGATTCGAAAATTTTGAAAATCGACTGAAAATTATGAAATACTATGAGCTAACCCCTTGCCATTTTTATCAAAAAATTGCATATTGCTAATTTTCATGAAATTTCAGCCAACATCTAATTTCAATGAACTTGTGTCATATGCATCTTGATTTAATGAAAATTCACGTTGATAAGCCGGATTCGAAAATTTTGAAAATCGACTGAAAATTATGAAAAAACTATGAGCTAACCCCTTGCCATTTTTATCAAAAAATTGCATATTGCTAATTTTCATGAAATTTCAGCCGACATCTTTTTTCAATGAACTTGTGTCATATGCACCTTGATTTAATGAAAATTCACGTTGATAAGCCCGATTCGAAAATTTTGAAAATCGACTGAAAATTATGAAATACTATGAGCTAACCCCTTGCCATTTTTATCAAAAAATTGCATATTGCTAATTTTCATGAAATTTCAGCCAACATCTAATTTCAATGAACTTGTGTCATATGCATCTTGATTTAATGAAAATTCACGTTGATAAGCCCGATTCGAAAATTTTGAAAATCGACTGAAAATTATGAAAAAACTATGAGCTAACCCCTT